GGACAGAAAAAGTGACCCAGCAGTAGGGTGGGAGAATGCTACCCAGAGAATCCTATTCAGAGAAGAAATATGCAGGTGACTTGTACCCAATGCCTGAAAGATAAAATGTTTGCAGATAACCTCTTTGTATATGTCTCATTTCCTGGGCAGAAAATTCAGCCTGGATTCCTACTTTAAGAAATAAAAAGAACCTTCTTTAGCTTTCCTAATCTCAGCACCTGAAATGAATGGACACTGATGAATAAGACATTAATTTCAAGATGCCTTCACCATCACCTTCCTCTAAAAAGTTGGAAGAAATCCTTCACAAACAGCAGATGTGAGGGAAATTCCAAAGAATTAATGTTTATGAAGAACTAACATCCCGCAATTGAAGCATCAGGAAAAGTCCATGTAATATGCAATAATGCTATAATTAGTGGGTGATTTCCTTTCCATTATTTAATGAGCCTATATCTCAGCTGATAAGGACAGTTTAAAAAAAAAAAAAAAAGACAATAAAGCAATTGGGAAAACAGTTGTGTGCCTATTTGTTTATGCTCCTTATTTACAGAATAAGGTTTTCCAGGCAGTGTACATTACAAGGAGTTATGAGGACTTGGTAGAACATTACTTCATAACGTAGCTGAAATTGCCCTGTGATAGTTTATAAAAAAACTGTGTTTGGATGAGATTCAGATGCTTGTACTTTGTATTGCTGGTTTTAATAGGATTTTGACTTGAAAGATGGAGTGGAGATGACTGACTCTCAATAGCCTCATCTCTGCACATACTAAGCAGTTACAGGACAAAGCCAGAATTGGTTTTTTTATTGTCTTTTCTCAAGAAAGCCCATGAGTCAGTTGGGAGAGAAATATGCCTCTGAACAGAGAAAAACTTGAAGACTATTAATAGAATCTTCTCTTACGAGAGACACCAAAGTAATCTTCCAGAGTGCCAGAGAAGAAAGAAAGAAAAACTGGAAAACTCTAGGGAAATGGTTTCTGCTCAGGCCACCACCAAAAGCCGCTAAAAACCCTTAGACATAGGCCTATATGTCTAGTACTGTAAAATTCCTTTTTTTCTCTCTCCTCCTTTGCTCTTCAGTAACAACACAACTTTATGAAGGATTGTCTGCCATGAACTGAAGACTCCTGAAAAGATCACATGCAAATCAGATGGAAATGCAGTGCATCCAGGTCTGTAGCCCAGATCTTTATAAACAGCAAGGTATTAGTGATTCTGCCTCAGACACTGTGCTGAGAGGTGCACTAAAGGAGGTAAAGAAAGGTAAGAGGCACATTCAGTTTTCTACAACATATCAGTTTCCTCCAACGTCTTCTGGAATGTGCAGATGCAAATATATATCACCACCTCACCTGACTACTCTGCATCTAATGCAAATACTGCAGACGACACAAAAATATACAGAACCGATGAACACTATGCAGAATCAAATCATACACAACTGAAAAGAGCATGCAGGGCTACTGAAGACATCAGTTCATCATCAAGTTATCTTATTTCAGAATCAGACTAAAAAGCCCAAATCCCCATAGTTACACACCTCTTCTTTGTGGCAACATCTGCCTCAAGAGATCTGCCATACAGCTCTTCCCACAGTTTTTCTTCCTGTAGAACACTTGCTTCTTCACTGTTCATGATTTCTGCAAGCTTTACTAATATAGTACCTCAACTGTCTTTGCTCTGCCCCCTGCCTGAGAGGCAGCATGTGCCATATGGCCAGTTGAACCAAGTACTGCTTAATTTCAACCTGGCAAGCAAAGCAAATAGCCCTGTGAAACACCTGCAGCCTTCAGATTTGCTTCTGCTAGATTGTCAAAATATAGCACTACAACACAGATATAAATACATATATTATATATAATTTGAATAATATAAATACATTATTCCTTTCAGCTCAATATTTAAATAATTTGATATTTTAATTCTGACTGCATCAAACTTGCATTTTTAGTTGTCTTCCATATCAGTACATCTTTTCTTTCATGTAACATTAAAAAGAACAAAAATAAAAAAAGCAATACAAGTTTTATTTTCTTTACTAGTTCAGCTTTAAAAACTAAAAATACAATATTTATATAAAAAAATATCCCATCAAGTACCTGTCAGTAACTGTAACCACACTCATTTACATAGTTTGCTACTGCCTGATCTACAATCTTGCTATCTCAGTCCAGAGCCAAGCCTAATGAAAAAGCTGTGACCGCAGCGTCATGGAGTAGTCTAGGCAGGAAAGGATCTTGGGAAATTATCTAGTCTCCAACCTTCTCTTGGACCTTATTTCACTACGTTTTAACAGGGCTTTAGATTAAGTAAGCTATGGTGCTGCCAAGATGAGCCTTAAAAATGAGGGAGATTCCACCATGCTTTTCAGAAACTTACTCCAAGATTTCCTTTTCCCTACACTGAGATGAAATTTCTGCTCTCACTATTCATCCCTTTGAGCAGAAAACAGCTTGTCTTTCACAGCTTCTCTATCTCCTATGTACTGGATGACTGATGAAACCTCTCCAAGCTGTCTCTCCAGTGAGGTGCTGGACCATGTACACACGAAGGCAGCGAAGCTGGTGAAGGGTCGGGAGCACAAGTATTATGAGCATTGCCCGAGGGAGCCGGGCGTGTTTAGCCTAGAGAAAAGAAGGCTCAGGAAGGCCTTCTTGCTCTCTACAACAATGTGGGGGTTGGGCATTTCTCACAAATAACAAGAGAAAATGGTCTCAAGATGCACAAAGGGAGGTTTAGATCAGATATTAGAAAAAATTCTTCTCTGGAAAGGCTGTCAAGCACTGGAACAGGCTGCCTGGGGTAGTGGTAGAATCACCATCCCTGGAGAGATTTACAAGATGTGTGGATGTGGCACTTAGGAACATCATTTCAGGTGGGACTTGACAGAGCTGGGTTAACAGCTGGACTTGAAGATGTCTTTTCCAACCTAAACAATTTTCTTGAACTTTCTCCAAATGTTGAGTTCTCTAACACGTTAATCATCCTTCTAACATGCAAATCATCCTGGTGGCTACCCGCTTGACCTTCTCCAATTTTTCATCAATATCTCTCTTGAAATCAGGGGACAAACCAGACACAGCACCCTAGCACATCTCCTATCAATACCAGAGAATCGATTTGACTTCCTTGACACAAGGGCACATTGTTCAGTTTGCCATCCAGCAGCACCCCCAGCTTCTTTTACACACAACATCTCTGCCAGTTATACCACAGCCTGCTTGCTGTTTGAGAATTATCACTGCCACAGCACAACTTCACACTCTTAACTCTGTTAAAGCTTATGCAATTCCTCCTGGCCTAGTATTCCTGCATGATGGATTCCAGATGTCCACAAATGCAGATGATAATTATGACAATTATCTGGCTATTTCATTTGCACCTTTGATTTGAAAACCTGAAGAAAAAAATGTGGACCAAGCGCTCTCTTTTTATTTTCAATCCTTTTGCCATATATAGTCATACTTTTAATTTCCATGCGATAAAGCAAAATCCTTGAAGAAATCAAATTCTACTTGTTTGATGAACTACTTCAATGAGGCTATACAGATGCATCTACAGGACTGGTTTAGCCTTAAGCCTAAACACTCTGTCCTAGCAGTAACCACTAAAAGACATGGGCTAAAAAAACTTGAGTCATTCTAAACCAACATTGCAAAATTCTTTGTCCATTTTGTTGAAAGCACTGTGTTTCCTACCAGGTTGAAGGAATCCCTACTAATGAGAAAAACCGTCGTTAATTTTTATAAGTGCAGAAAGTGACTGAGCAGGGATCAGCCCATGTACGGCCTAACACAAAGGGTACAGATAAAAGCAAGAGGAGAATGACACAGGGAGATGCAATCTAGTTTGGGGGAAAAAAAATCATTATAAATTCCCCATTTTTTCTTGGAAGGTTCACAGTTTTAGGCCAGACAGTCCCTCAAAATCAACTACATCCTCTTAAACAGAGGCCTTCTATTTTCCTCAGCTACCAGTCTCTAAGACCAGTAATTTATGTTTAACTACAGCAGTTCTTACAGAAAGGCACCCATGGCAAAATTCAAGTTATTAAGAGCTAAACAGTCCATCAATTGCTGTGATTTCCGAAAGGCTAGTCACTGTCCTTTGTACTTTATTTCTGGCTTCAGGCTTCAGTCATAAATTATTGCTACACCTTTTTATGTTATGTTTTCTATGTTTCACTTACATGATTAGACACCACAGCCAAGTCTTATCTCTTTCTTTGGCTAAACTAAAGAAGCTTAACAGTCTCTTTCTAAGAAATTTTGATTCTAACCCAAAGTAAGTTTTTCCCAGTTTGTCTGTTCCATTCAATTCTTAAAATCCCCATTAATTGCTGTTAAACACAACTTAGAAATTAGAGTAGCATGGTAGCTGAAAAATATAGTAACTGCAACAGTGCTTACTGATAAACAAACTGTAACTACAGGAAAAGAGTACAGAATGCATTGAAATTATTTTTCCTCTAGGTCATCTTTTGATCAGATGGACAATGTTTCACCCTAAGAAGTCATGAACAATACACATTTTTACTAAGGACTAATGTTAAAATTCTTTACGTCAGTCTCTACAGCAGCTGATCATATTGATTCCCAAGAAAAAAATTAATACAAGAAAAGGAGAGATACATTAAACAGTGTCCTGAAGGAGAAAAACACAAAGCAGCATCAGCTCCACTGAGCACAACGGACTCCTGAAAAGCATGTTGTAGGCAATATAAACATTTTCTCAAATATCTGACAATTCTCAAAATATGTGCTAAAATAGCACTACCTATAAAGTATCCTTATGTAAACAAGAATTTTTTTTTTCTGTAATTAAATTAATGCTGTATTGAGCACTACACAGTCACATTAGCAGTATGCACACAGGACAAAATGAATATTCAAAGGAAAGTACTATATCAACTACAGAACAGCAAGCAAAAATATGCTGCAGACATGCACACAATAATGTAGCAAACCTTCAAATATTTTACATGTTTAACCTACCTCAAAATGAAAGTGGAAGAAACATTTCAGTTGCAACAGCTTAAAAATGCGACATAGGGCAAAGAAGCAAAAATCGTCTGTCCTAAATTCCTTGTGCTAGAGAAGAAGGAAAAAAGGAAAAAAACCTCTTAGATAAACCAAAACTTTCAGACTCACCACGTTTTGTTACTAAATGCTACTGTATAAAGGCAGGTGGAAAACAGATGAAAAATACTTTGACAAAAGCCTTACACCAAACAGCAACAAAACCCCAAATCTTTTGAATAAAAGACCAGCAATGCTAGACAAAATACATGTTCCCTTGATGTACATGAAGTTTAGCAGACTTCATAAAAATTTGGAAAGTAGATCAAAAAATCTGACAAAGATTAAAAAAAATGGGGAAAGGAAGAAGAAAGAGAACATTGTCCTCAGAGACAATCAAAGCTAACAGAATTCCAAAATGTAACTACAATAGGTAATTATTTGAACTTAAGACTCGAGTGCTTTAAAACCAAGCCCAGAATAGCACAGAAATACTAATTTTATATTTCTGGTAAAGTATGTCTTAACTAGCCAGGTGTTTAATTACCCCAAGGATAAGGTACAAACTAAATGGAAAGCAATTACCTACTTATGTTGATATGTAAAAATTACTCTGCTTCAAAATATTCCTCACTCTTTCAAGAATCAGCTGGAGCAAATTTCTTCCCTCCACCTTTTCTCTTACAGTCTCTGCAACTTCACAAAACACAATACTATTTCAAGCTAATAGAGCTTGGAAAGGGAAAAATCCAAAATGTAGAAAGAATAGAAAATATTTTCTACACTATATATAATGTTTCCCAGTCGTTTAAAATGAGACCTGAAGAAACAAAGCAGTGAAGATCCATTCAATGACATCCGCTTTAGGAAAAGCATTGCTTGTAGGTGGAGGGACATGATCCTTTTCCTCTACTCTGCACTTCTAAACACATCTGGAATACTGTGATGGTTTCAGATGTTCCAGGCACAATACAGACACAAACATACTGAAGTGAGACCAGCAAAAGGCTGCAAAAATGGTTAAGGGCTTGGAGCATCTCGTATCTGAGCACAGGCTGAGATAAACAGGACTACGCTACTGAGATAAACTACTACTACGGGGAGAAAAGTCAGGGTGGAGTAGGAGGAGCATAATCAGTATTTATTAAACGCCAGAGGAGACAGAAGACCACTGAGCTAGTCTTCTCATGGTTGTTCAGTGAAAAGGTAATATACAACTTGACATTTAAACATTAAGAAAAACTTCCTTAACCTAATGGGGCTCAAACACTGGAGCAGGCATCCAGACAGGTGTCAGAAACTGAAATATTGTAGTTTATGGCTTAAACATTTTACAAAGGTTTTTTGTCCATTAAAACTGTGTAGTGAAGCTGCATCAACAAAGCTGCACCAACAAAGCTGCACCAAAGACCACTGCATCTGGTCTGGGCTCCCTAAGCTGAGCCCCTAGACTGTAAGGTAATTTAAGATAAAAATGATACTATTTTTAGGTCTGGGCTGGGGGAGAAGAATACTTCCACAGGAGGATGAAGCCCAGCAGCTGTCTTGTCTACTGAGATCAGGTTTGTACCCCCCTACCCACCAAAAAAAGGAGGAAGAGGTTTTGGGTGCATGGTGAAAAACCTCTGGTCAGAGGCAACACACACCCATCCTCTTACACAAACTGGTTCAGTCATAAAAGCCACATCTATGGGACATTCATGTTAGGGGCTGCTCAGGGAGTGTCATGGTCCATTAAATGCTCCCTTAATGGTTCCCCAGACCCCGCACCAGAGCACTGCATGTGATGCAAAATCATGCAACTGATACACAGTCCTGCAAGGGACAGGGTAAAACTTGTGCCCTCAGGGTAGGTACCTGGGCACTCCCACCTGACCCAAATGTTTATTAATCCATTGAATTCTATTCTTTGTCAGAGGGGGACCCTCACAAGCTACAAGACCAGAGGATAAATGAGACATCAAGACCCATGGAGGAGTGATATGTTTCTATGCAACATGTGTCTGTCACTCTTCCTGTCTTCCCACCCCTCACCTCTTTTTCTCTTTACTTCTTTTCTATTAAATAAAACATCAATTTTTGTTATCAACATTTAACCTCTTTTGGTTCTAGTCTTGTTTTGGGGAGTATTCAAACCTTTGGGATTCTATCCACAATCCACAGAGAGCTCACTTTGCTCCTCTGTGATTAGAGTGGATCATAAAAACAGATAATAGAATCTCTGTCCTTAGAGAGATTCAAAACTCATTATACTCTGCCACAAGTAATCTGCTCTAGCTAATCCTTCTCTGAGTACTGGGATCGGACTACACAATTTCCAGAGGTCCCTGCCAATGTCAACAACTCTACCATTCTCTGAAGATAAGAAAAAGCAAAAGTGCAAACCAAACATACAGATAGAGTGTATGTGTGTGTGTGCGTGCGCGCACACATCAATTTACAAGTTAGTTACCTCCCACAACAGCAATGACCGCACAAGGAACATGAGAATCATTACAAGCAGTGTCTGGTTGAACAAGAATTAAGAGCTCATGGTCTTAGGGGTCTGTTTTGTGTTCTCAGGAATTCCTTTCTGATTCTGAGTCAATCTGCATGAAAAAGCCAAAATTTGTGCCTTCCTTACCCAAAGGCACAGTACCAAAGCAATGCTTAGTCTACATATACCAGGGAATACCAAAATTAGGACCACCTGCACAAAAAAGGTTCAGCACTTGTGCACCAAAAGTCCAGTCTCATACAAAAAATAATGTGGAAAACACAAAGAGGAAAGAAGTGATCTCTATTCTCAACCACTTCTCTAAGGTAGTGTCATCTATGTTTCTCTCCAATACAGTCTTGGGAAGCTCCTTTGGGCACCATCCTGCCCCTCTGTGAATCTCCATGGGTTGCAGGGGTAGAGCCTTGACCAGCAGCAGGTTCATCTTGGAGCTGGCTAGCACTGGGTCTGCTGGACATGTAGGAAACTTTTGCAGCTTCTCACAAAAGCCTGCAGACCTTCTCACACCTGCAGACCTCTGCAACTAAAACCCTGCCACACAAACCCAATACAGAAGGCATACTCATATGATTTTTTCCACTGCACTTCTGCCTTTGTCAATGCACTGAATGAATATACTCACTTAATAAGGAGTCTCTCAGTATTTTGTCTAACCTTCTTGAGTTTGAAGTACAACCCTCATGTTTCTCCCAGCCCCAGTTCCTCCTTTTCCACAGTTAGGTGTCTTTCAATCCTCCTCTCCTATTTTTCTCACAAGCTCACTGTCTTATTTGGACTCACATTCTATCCTGAGAGCTTCTAGCGCCATTCTGTTCCCTTCCCAAGTTCTCATTTGTCTTTTCATATCAAGAGATGCTGCCAACTCAACTCCTTGTTCCCAAGCTCGCTTTGTCCACACTACTCCAGTCCCCTGGTTTCATTCATCCTACCATTACAGAATAAGTACAGAAATGATATTGCCAATTAAGAGCTTTCCTCAGACCACACTCCCTGTTATCCACTGGCAGCGCCCATCCTCACCACAGCCCTGTGGCAGAACAAGCACAGTCAGCTGTTCTGTGGTGCTGGCAGGCATGCCCAAACAAGAACAGCACAGCATGTCTTCTACAGGTAGAATTGCTGGAGATTCTTACACACCAATACTGAGGTTGACACCTGGCGCAAAAGTAGACTGTACCAACCACCTTCCTAATCCGAAACACAGCCCCATGTACATGGTAAGGTATAACTTGCATACATCTATACATACCTTTGGAGGTCAACTGAAAAGTGTTACCAGAATGTGCTGCTTAGGCACTTGTCAAGTTTTGAAGATGTGCAACAACAGTGATTTCACAACTTCTCTGGGGCCCACTCCCATGTTTGACTACCCTCACAGTACATTTTTTGGGGGGAGGTGTATCTACCACCATTTTCCATAAAATAAAACATTAAAAGTTATTTATCTGCTGTCCTATACTGTGAAAGATAAATGCAATTTAGAACAACCAACCAAAGAAAAAATACTATGCTATTTACACGATGCTTTTTTTGAAAGCTAAATAGTTAAATATTCTCAGATATAAAGATTTCTTATATCTCTGTTAGTAGCAATCTCTAAAGACCGTGATTCTCTGGAATTTTTAAAACAATGTTCTTGAAACGGTTGCCTCTGGACATCACTGGGAAGGCGAAATCAGAGCTTCTCAAAATGAACCCACTACTAGCTTTGAAAAATTCAGTGTCTGAAATAAACCAGGTAACAGTTTTATTTTTCATCTCAAGAAAATGCAGGTAGGGGTTGACATCATTACAGATTTGGACTTTCCATCTCTGTATATTTCAATTCCTTCATTCCTGCTTCAACCAACTACCTGAAATAGGCAAAAATTCAAGCTTCTGGGTTTTTTGGTGTAGTCCTCTCACAATTATTCCTTAGGGAGTTACCCTAATTTTCATGACTACTTAAATATTCACCAGAAAGGAAGACAAGGATAATAGGACTAACAGAACAAAGAATGAAAAGACAAAAATTTTTTAAAAATCTTTAATTGCCCAGAGAATTATTTTGAAAAATAATGAACAAGAACTTAGAGCTCTCCTGCAGGAACATACATGCAACCTATTTGATGTTAGTGAAGTTGATAGGATGATTCACATGAATGTAATGCTACAATTCAAGAGATATAACCTATTTAGAAAGAGCAACAACAGAGAACAAATGGTACTGTGTGCCAAAAATGTCACCGTCTGTTTCTGAGTCACTGACAATAAAAAATCATGTCTTAATAAAGAAAGTACAAGTCAGGATACTAGCTGGAGTTTGCTACAGATACGAAAGCTCACACAGCAAGGTGGTTAAGCACATATTGCTTCTTGATGGAAATAAAAGTTTCATTATCACAGTGGACATAACACAGAGTGAAATAACCTGGAGTCTTCATGCTGCTATTATCAGAACATGCTCAAAGTTTCTAAAAATTGAGGACAATTTCTTATACTGAGAAATGTTAAATCCAAGCCAAGGGAATGCTATGTTCAACTTCATCCAGGCAGATAACAAGTACCCCACTGTTTCACAGAGAGCAAATACAGAACAAAGACCCTTCCTGCCCCCAGGTCTTAGAATCAAAAGATATATTCACAAACAGATCTTTGCAAAATGACTTTAGCAGTCCCACCCCCTACCTATGCTGTCCCCACAGCTGACAGAACTGTTTGTAGCAATGTGCAGAGAACCAGTTCAGGGAATCATATCTGAGTTAAACCAAAACAGAGGCTTGATCTGAGTTAAAACTACCATCCTTTCTTGCTTCTCCCTCCCCCTCCTCTTTCATTTTTTTTTTTTTAAGGGGACGCTTTTAATTTATCAATTTTCACCCAGTGCAACTGAGGTGACAGAACTAGGATACAGGTGCTGCCTAAAAACTTTTTAGCCTGATTTGCCAACATGCCAAGAAAGAAATATAGAGAGTGCAAAAGAAGGACTCAAACAGTGATCATTGTGGTAGGAAGTTTATGCTTCCAAAATTCAAACTCTGCTATTCCAAAGTGCAAACATTTAAAATTAAGTACAAGGAAACCTCCACCAATTTTTTACTTATTGATTAGCACGTATCAAGATCAAGTTTGCATTTATAGTAGTTTTGATTTTGATGGCTATGCTTGTTCTGAGATCTTCCCCTCAGCCTTGCAGACAGGCTCCGCAGCATGGGAGATAACAACGTACAGATACAGAATTCTCTTTTCATTCAGACTTTATTTCACAAGACTGAATCATATGCTTCAGTGGGGAGATACTGTTTCAGTACAATGACAATTATTCAAGACATACAGACTGTGTGCCTGAACACATCTATTTTTCTCTCATTTCACCAAGTTTTAATAATGATTTTATATAATAGCTCTTTCACTGCCAAAGCTTCCTGCAAACCCATTTCTTCTTTGAAATACTTTCCTTTTGACTGTGGTGCCTATATTTATTCAAATCTAGCCCACTTAACATTTTCCCCCTTGAGGTGCGTATGTAACACACGTTCTGAAGAGGAATGCGATGCCCATTTGTTAGGGAAAAAAGCAAGATGTTTTCAAGATTTGCTACACATTGTGCATAAAAAAAGAAGGAAGGATGCAAAGCTAGTTTACCATCTTCTTAAGTTAAACAAGGAGACTTAGATTTGCATGTATTGTATGCCAAAACACGACAGCCACCCAAATGCACATTTCAAGGCTTTATATAGTCTGGCCTGCAGAACTTCAAAAGAAACTATAAGCACTACATTATTTGAATGGTTTGGTCTTCAACACAGCATTGAAGACAAGATGGAGAGTACCTGACACTCTAATAATATGAGCAATCAGAATTACTTTGTCCATATTCTCAAACAAGCCATTATTACTCCAAAAACCAAAACACAGAAGTATAAAACAGCTCCGAAGTACAATCATCCGCCTTTCTTCATACACCTAAAACAGAACAATGAGGGGGTCCACTATGCCCATTTCTAAGAGAAAATATACCTCAGTCAAGGGATGACAAGAAACCAGAGAGCCCACTTCTTGCCATGTCCCACCAGCAGCTTTCACTATAGACCAGATACAGTGAAGAAAGCTCTACGGGTCAGCAGAATTATGTATATTGCTGCTGAAATGTCCAGAGAATTCAAATTAAGTACCTTAAAAGATATACTGCAAATGGAAAATGGCAACTTTATGGAGCTTGTAATTCAGACAAAGCCAGACTAGCTATCTTGGGAAATAGTTCACCATTTCCAAAGCTATCTCCCTATTAAATTTCATACTTTTTACCTACATCTTGGAGTTGCTTAGGGATACTTAAGAGTAATCAAGAATACTTTCAATACAATCAAAACATTTTCAACACATCCATCTTAAAAGAAAAAGAAAATTAGCCTAAACTTTGACCTGAAATTTATAGTAAAATTCCTTACTACCAACGTTAATTACCAACACTAAAAAAAGCAGAAACTGGGAAAATATAGCATGATGGGCCCAACTTTAAATGCACAAGCCTCAAAAAACATAAGCACTAACATTACTGGTGCTTCAGGCATGGGACCCACTTCCACTCAACACTGAAACTGGCTAAATTTGCAGTACAATTAACAACATATACAGCTAATTCTTATCTGAATCATCATCTCTTTTTCTAGACATGCAATATAGAAAATTCTTTCATCTGCCTGCCTGAGTGTCCTGGTTTTGGCTGGATTAGTGTAGCTGCCTTTTGGATTTGGGATGAGAATAATGTTGGTGGATGGTTCAGCTGTTGTTAAGTAGTGCTACCCCAAGTCCAGAGTTTTCTGCGTCTCATGCTCTGCTAGTGAGTAGCTGCACAAAAAGCTAAGAGGCAGCACAGCCAGGACAGGTGATGTGAACTTGCCAAAGTGACATTCCACACCACAGAACATCATGTCCAGTATATAAACTGGGAAATCTACCCTGAAGGGGGGATGGTGGCTCACCCCATGGGATGAGCTAGGTATTAGTCAGCAGGTGGTAAGCAACTACTGCACATTACTTCTCAGACTCAAGTTTTCCCTTTCTCTCTCCTCTTCCTTACAATTATTATCATTAGTAGTATTTAATTTTCTTTCAGTTATTATACTGCTTTTATCTCAATGCACAAGTTTTACCTTTTTTTCTCAATTCACTCCCCATTCCACTGGGCCAGAGGTAAAAGGGGAGTGACTAACAGGCAGTATGGTACTTAGTCAACTGGGGTTAAACCACAACACAGAATAAACAGCTTGCTGACAGAAGAGTTTCTTAAATTAACCACCATACCAAATATATTGATTCAGCTAATAGTGCTTTTGCTAAGACAATACTTATTTCACCAATGTATTTAAAATCAATACCTATAACAGCCAAATGTCTATATAGCAAGCTTTGCACAGATTGGTCTCCTGAATTTCTGCTGGCCAACAGAACCTGGAAGAATACAGAAACTACAACAGCAGAAACACCTAAAATTTGTCTGATAAAGTCTTACGTGGTTTATCTTTCCTCTTTGGATACGCACTCAACAGAATACAAACTGCAGCACCAGAAATGTTCCATGCAGATGGAGGTCAATACTCTTCAGGAGAGTGTAAAAGGATTAAAAGCAGTGAAGCCTTGACTAGACCATAGAGCAGGCGACCAGCCTCACCAGCAGTACCACTACTAATTAACTCACTAGAAAGATTGCTCAGAAAAGTGGTTGAGAAGCTTTCACCACAGTAAAAGTACAAGGTGACTCAGGATGCAGCTCCATGATCTGCTGTAGTCTGTATGATACACTTTCAGCCCTCCTCCTACTTCTAAATTCTCCACTCCAGTCCTACATCATTTCTTACAGACTCATAAAAGCATCTGGGTTTTGAGACACTTTGCAGTTTATCTAGTTCAATGACCTGCCATGGGCAGCATCACCTTTCACAAGCCTAGTTTGCCCAAAACATTTGTCTGGCCTTCCACATCATGGCATGGGGCACCCACAGCTTCTCTGGACAACCTGCTCTAATGTCTCAGCATGCTTGCTGTAAAAAATTTCTTCCTAGTAGCTAATCTAAACCTGTCTCCTTTCAGTTTAAAGCCGCTGCCCTGTGTCCTATCACAACTACTTGTGATGGCATTCATGTCAGTGAGCAAGCTAAAGCAATGAGAAGCATTTTCTACCTCTAGTTTTGTATCAGCTGGATCTGGTACTTTACCTGGCTCACTGTGCAGCCAGCTGATCTTCTGCTTGGCTTGGAGAGATGAGGCAGGAAGCAGAGAGGAGTGCTCCCCATTCCAGTAACAGGGATCTAATGTGAACAGGCTATGAAACTGCACCCTGGGCACCTTTTTTAACAGAATGGGTCTGTAGCTGGAGGTAAATAACTTTTGGTCCCACTCTGATTCATAGAAATACTCAGGCATAGAACAAAAATCATTACCAAAACCAGTGTACTAATAAGTAACTGACAATTAGCTAAGCAAAAAGGTAAGGATGATATAAAAGCACATCTTTTCACTTCCTAATAAAACTCAGTTGCATTACAAAATCAGTGTAAGGAATGCTGTGAGTACTTAAATATTAAGCTCTCTGTCCACACAGCAAATAAAATGCTGGAAAATAACCATGAAAAATAATAAATTTAAGCCTATTAAATTGTATTCTAGGAATTCCACTCAGTACAAATCTGCGAAACTCATCTGCAAGCTAAATAGATATATGTACAATGATACCTGTGAAGAGAAAAAAAGTCCTTCTAAAGCACCAAACAAATTCACAGAGCAGTATTAAATTTCATAAGAGGATGTTTTCCATGTCCATTGTTTGCTTCAGTAAGCTTGCAGAAAAAAAAAGTGAAAAGATATCTATTCATTTTTTGTATGTATGCTTTACTTCAAAGAATTCCAGTAATCTATTGTAAGTCTAAAAAACTCCTCAGTCACGACAGCACATTGTTCCCCAAAGGAACAGTGGGTCAGATTCAAAGTACCAGCAATACAGTTGTATTCAGGACTTTTTCTATAGAGCCTGGAATGGGCAAAACCTCCAGAGTCAGTGCTGAGTCTTCAAGGGAAACAAAATATGGTTGTGAACTTAAAAGAAGAGATTCTAAAAGATAAATCCCCACTGAGTAATTATAAGGAGAAGCTCTCCCAAACATTTGCTAACTAGTACATAAAAGGCAATTCAGTAAAGACCATGGTCAAATCAACTTGCTGATTTAAATATAGTCATAACTGGCTACAGTGACTGAAAAGGTAATCTCAAGAAGACAGACAAAATCCAGGCACTGGTGAGAACACTCCAATAATTAAAGGTATTTCACTAAGAGAGCAGTCTGAGTGTGCACTGTGTGTCAGAAATGATGATGCCCTTGTCTGCCTCCAGCTGCTCAGTACTGTTGGCCTGCTGGAAGTTTTAATCTTATTCCTATGCCTACCCACATCTGCTAACCTACTGCAGACAAAAAGAGTCAGGTCAGCTTAGACACAACAAATATTACACCCGTCTTAACCCACCATGTTCTGACAGAGGTGGGCTGGGCAGTGCCTGGACTGACAGCAGCGGAGGAGGCACAGCAGAGCTCCAGCTGACAGGCAGGCAGCAAGCACTGGCAGTGACTTCAGCAACAGCCATCACCCGAGGCTTCTAGCTGGAGCTACCCTGTGAAGACCAATACTCTGGTCAGCAAATAATCTTTTTTTTCCCTCTTTTTAAAGAAAGTGAAATAATATCTAAAACACTCAGAACAGCAGATTTAATCAATTCTAAACCCAAATGAGCATATAAAGACATTCTTTCTGCATTTTCACATTGACTGCACTCTGTGATACAGCCCAAGCCACTATCCTCAGTTGTTAAAGTTTTAGTTTCCTCTACACGAGAGTTTTTTCACTTTTTCCCATGTAGTTAAAAAATACTTATTTTTAAAAACCTGTGGGCATTCTTTAACCAGGATGCGATCATAAGACTGCTTTACTGAACACCAGAACACCACGCCACTTCTTTCACCCTCTGCCTCCTTAAAGATGCCAAGAAAATACTGAGGTTCAGTAAAAGGACACTACCTTTCTGCTGTATTATGGACATTTATTCTCCTTTAAAGGCAAATATTGTTAACACCCCACTCTTCAGTGTCACCAAATCACCACTGCATTAATATCAAATGTATCCAGTTAGCTTTGTAATTGTTATTACTTTTACAACACTTTTTTTGCCAATGATGGTATGTCCTGAAGAAGGTCTGTTACCTGCTCATGCAAACTTATTACTTTAGCCAAAAAAAACTTCATACAAAAGAACTGTAAAGTGGAAGACGCATTTTGCGACAAGCTGGCTTATGTGGTTCTGAGCAGCTTGGCTTATGTAAAACCAGCATAAAAAGTTAGGTACCTGGAAGAAAACCAGTTCAATCTCTCTCAAAAGTTTCAGTATTTATCCTTGAAACCAAAATGAAGGCAACAGTTCCTCAAAAAGCAGAGTGGGTTTTGGAAAGGGACTATACATGCCCATTCTCTCTTGGTTTAGAATTACAAATTTTGAGTTTTCTCCCTACCAAACCAAAACCAAGTAAAAGTAACAATTTAGACTGAAAAATTATTCTCTACATTTGGATAAGTCAAAAATGGCAAGCATTTCGTGCAGCTTTCTAAGCTGCCAGAACAACTACAAGAAACTTAAGTCTAAAAAGAAGTGTTCAGTCCCACCCAATTAGAAGAGCAATACCTGGAATGAAAACCATCACTCAAACCCAGCTATAGCATAAAGTCAAGAATCACGCTCAAATGACTTTTTATCATTTATGGCTACACAGAAAGCTTGCATTAGGCAGCGGGGAAAACTGGCAAGTCTCGTTTGGCAAAAGCAGCTGGCAGCACCAAAACCTGCTGCAATGACTGTAAGGATACATTCTGAAAAACAAACCCCTTCGATTTTATGTAGAAAACTGAAATTATAACTGTCAAATGTGGAGCGGCAGCAGGCACAGCGCAGCGCTCGGCAGAGCCTGGGGGCCAGTCCCGGGCAGTGACACCGTGGCCATTCCCCGCAGCCCCGGCGACACGGGCACACGGGTACTTCTACACCCGTTCCAGCAGCCCACACGTGGGCAGCGCGGGCGGCTCGGAAGCAGCCGCCGCCGCCCCGTCCCCTCCCGCCGCCGCTCCGGGCCTGACGCCAAGCACACGGGAAGCCCGCGGGCCCACGGTCTTCATCCCGGGGCAGGGCTGGAGAGGCTCCTGGGCGCCGCCACCCCGACTGGCCCGACGCGGGGGCCGGCCGTGCCCCTGCTGCCCGAGGGCCCGCGGCCGCCGCTGCCCCGCGCCCCTGGCGGGCGGCGCTGCCGAGCCGGGCCGGGCCGGGCTGCCGCACGTACCTGGCGCTGCCGCCGGCGGAGCGGGGCGCGCGCGGCGCCGTCACGGGGAGCGCGCGGCCGCTCGGGGCCTAGTGCCGCGCGCGGCTCCGCCCGCCCCCTGCTGGCTCCACTTCCGGGGTCCGCGCGAGGTGACGTCAGCGCCCGGGGGCGCGGCGGGGAACCCGGAAGTGGAGCGCGAGGGGCGGGGCTGCCGTGGGAGCGGCCCTTGAGCGGCCGTGTCGCGATAAAGTCATGGAGGGGGGGATGGGGCTGCCCTGAGAGCGGCCGTTGAGTGGCTATGTCGCGATAAAGTCACGGACGGGGGGACGGGCCTGCGCTGAGAGCGGCCCTTGAGTGGCTGTGTCGCGATAAAGTCACGGACGGGGGGACGGGGCTGTGCTGAGAGCGACCAGGCGGGTACCGGCATCGAGATACTGGGCTATTGCTCGTGTGCTGGTAGATCACACTGGGAATGTCATGTTTCCACTCCCAGCTTTCCATTTTGATCGCTTAGGAGTTTGTAAAAAAGAAAAGACGATAAAGCTTTTCGTGTTAGACGTTTCAGGCCTCTTTAGAAATACATGAGGACTGTGTCGCATTGGCCTACAGTAAAACACTGACGACCATAAGCAGTCCCAAGACATTTGTACTTACACAGTGAGAAGCACCTGGGCTTGGTTTCAAGGACACAGTGTGTTCCTTCCTTGAAAAGCTCTCCGGAGTTGCTCAGACGACTGCTGACAACCCGCACCATGCCAATGCTCTCATGGTTCTGCCTGCACAGCATGGTTGTGAGGCGTTCCTGTCCCAAGGATGTTGAAAACTGCCACATGCCACGTGTGCAGCTGAAATGATTCATCCCCTCTTATACCCCAATCATGACTGACAGTAAAATTCAGCAAACTAGAGCCATGGACAGATAGGTCAACGTGGAAGAAACATTTTTAATCATTCACTCACAGCTGCTCTCTCTGTAATGACCCAAAGCAGCAACCTTGTATTTTTGCTGTCAGTGCAATAGTTTGGGTAGGAAGGAGCCTTTAAAGGCCATCTAGTCCATGTCCCTCAGCAATAAGCAGGGACATCTTCAAACAGATGAGGTTGCTCAGATCCCTGTCCAGCCTGACCTTGAATGTTTCCAAGGATGGGACACCTACAACCTCCCTGAGCAACGTATTTTTTGTGTTTTCTGCAATACCTAAGGAAGGAACAAGTGAAATACTTTTCTTCTTTGGTGTAGAAGATAATATAATCTCTTGGAGAAGTAGTCTGCTGACATTTTAGAAATTATGTTTGAGCCTCTCATATTGAGACTATTTTCCCTGTATTTCCCGTGTTAGAAAAATGTTGCACTTACATGTAGGTCTTTTGGTGAGACATTAGGGATACTATTGATGTAAGCAATCTTGTCCTCCCATTTGAAGTTCATTCCATCTCTCTTTGCAGAGATGGAATAGCAAGTACTGCTAAGTGGCCAAGTGAATTAGGTTAGTACTGACTCACATTAAAAGTAGATGACGTTTTTTATTGGGGTTTTAATCTGGTTCACTATCATTCTTCATCTCTTGCAGTACCCAGAAAAAAAAAGCCCACATCCCAAACAATAACTAAAACCAGTAGAATATAGAAGTCTAGATCAAGTTTCAGGAATAGTTATTGTTAAGTAGTACAGCTAAAAATATGCTGTGTCTCTGATCTTGATACAGCCTTTTGTAATTACAGGTCCAGGGAAGGATTTAAGGAGGGCAACTTTATTGAATCAAGTCAGAGGATGTTGTGGGTTTGGAGATGCTTGACTCACAGAGAGATGTTGACCACAGATTTGAAGCTCTTCAAAACTTCAGAGCTCTACAAAGAGGTAACAGTTTGAAAGAGCAGCTTTCCAAGATTTGTAGGACTGACCCTGAAACTCCAAATATCCTAGTGAAAAGGAACCAGAGGTAGTGTGTAGTTAATAGCCTTTTGCTGGAAGCTGGGCTTTTATCTTCTGTTTGCATGCAGAACTGTGAAGTTCTAATACCTTCACAGACTTCTGTGAGCTACAATAATACCAGTAATAGGCTAAAACTAGCAAAAACATCTGCATGCCTGTTAAATGCCAGGTTGGATAGGGCTTTGAGCAGCCTGGACTAGTGCAAGGTTCCCTGCCAATGGCAGAAGGGTTGAAACAAAATCATCCTTAAAGTTCCTTCCAGCCCAAACCATGTTATGAGTTTCTGATTCTATGCATGTCTGGTAAGGTTCTTGAGCTCACTTTTTAGAAATACAAAGTTCAGGCTGTGACCTAACACCACCCATTTAACTAGACAATGGCACTGCAGGGATGGTGACTTCACCACCTCCCTGTGCAGACCATTCCAGTGCCCCATCACTCTTTCTGTGAAGAAATTCTTCCTAATGTCCAGCCTAAACCCCCCGGTGCAGCTTAGGACTGTGTTGTTTTGTCCTGTTCCTGTTGCCTGGGACAAGAGACTGAGCCCCATCTGCTACACCCACCTTTCAGGCAGTTGTGACAGTGACAAGGTGTCCCCTGAGCCTCCATTTCTCCAGGCCAAAGAACTCCACTCCCTCAGCTGCTCTTCAGGACTTGTGCTGCCCTTCCCAGGACACGCTCCAGCACCTCAGCGTCCTTCCCAGACTGAGGAGCACAGGAATGGGCACAGCCTCAAGGTGCGGTCACACCAGTGCCGAGAGCAGGGGAAGATTGAGTTCCCTGCTCCTGCTGGCCACACTCTTCCTGATACAGGCCAGGATGCCATTGGCCTTCTTGGCCACCTGGGCACACTGCTGGCTCTTACTCAGTCTGGCACTGTCCCTTTCTGCCAGGGCACTGGACAGCCAGTCTGTCCCCAGCCTGTAGCACTCCAGGGGATTGTGGTGGCCAAAGTGCAGGAGCTCACACTGGGACTTGTTAAACCTCCTATCTTTGGATTTAGCCCATCTACCCAGCCTGTCCCTTCAGAGCTCTCCTACCATCCTGCAGGCCAACACTCACTCCCAGCTTTGTGTCATCTGCAAATTTGCTGATGGACTCAATTCCCTGATTGAGATCATCAGTAAAGATACTAAACAGGACTGGGCCCAACACTGATTCCTGGGACACAACAGGTGACTGGCCACAAAGCACATCTGCACCATTCACCGCCACTCTCTAAACCCATAGAAGAGTGTATCTGTCAGTTGTCCAAGATTATTAAAACTGCTTTCATTTCAGCTCACAGTTTAAACAAAAACATAATTTCCTTATGTGGGGTAAGTGAAGGTAAGTTTGAAACACTCAGACGTAGTAGAAATTAGTTTCATAGTCTTAAAAAACTCAGACTTTACCCATGTCTGGTAAATAGAGCTGCATTTCTAGAAATGTAGAGGAAAGAATGTGGTTTATGAAACAACAATCCCCTACAAAAAGCATATGTGACCATATAACTAAAACTGTCTTGGACTGCATTTGGTAAATGACTGTCAATGTCTCTGGTCTGTAGAAGGCTACAGACCTAGTTAAAAATGAAGAGTGAATTCAACATTGTTCTTCATAGACATAGATGGCCTCTGAGACTGTAAAGGAAATGTAGGGAATATGACAAGGTTAAAACTGCATAACACATCTGTCACCCTAGTTTTTTGAGATTTTCTAAGCCTTCTGATGTTGACATTCTTGTAGTGAACTTTCTCACACACTTTCTGTAAATAACTCATTGTTTTGCATTCCTTGATGGAAGAAAAGAGAGTTGATAGACTGTTGGTTTAACCGGTGTCATTGGAGAGGTGTCACTGTCACCCTCCAATCCACTGTCACATTTGTAAAACTATAAATATTGGAGTCAGAAAATAAACTTCCCTTTTTTTCCTTCACCTTGAGAACGGTGGTGTGCTTGTGTTCTTTCGTGTCCTATAGCGACACACATCCTTTTTGTATTAATTATTTCCAAATAAGCTGGATTGAACCAATTTATGTTCAGACACTCCCCTTGGAATGACCAGTTACTCCATACTAAGCATATATGAATAGAAAATGTGATAAACTAGTTTTGGCTGGGATAGTTAATCTTCATCTTAGCTAGTACAGTGCTATTTTGCTCGTAGTATGAGAATAATGTGGATGACACACTGGTATTTCAGTCATTGCTCCGTAGTGCTTATCCTACATCCAGGACTTTGCAATTTATCATGCTCTGCCAGCAAGAAGGTACAAAAGAAGTCATGAGGGGGTATGGCCAGGACATATGTTTTTAGTATGAAAATTCAGTAGAAAATCTAGTCGACATCTCTCTAGTATGAAAATCTAGTATACATCTCACATTTGTTTGCCTGGACTTGTTCCCTAAAGGAGTCCTTTCTGTTACCATGTCTTTGTTTCCCCCCCAAAATATAAGTAATAAAACAAAGGTCAGACATCTTGTTCCTTTCCCATGAAATAATTAAGAAATTGGATTTGAAAGAGGGTGTCTCAAAGAGAAAAAATGTCAACTGCCAGTAATATGAAATAATGGCAACACTGTACTGAAAACAGCATAGAGGGCTAAAAAAATCAAACCCAGAAACAAGACTCAGATTTTCAAGAAAATAATTAAAGCAATAATACTTTGGAAGGAAGGGTCCCCGGGATGCACTGGGAATGTGAAATAAGCAAGCCAGCCAATTGATGAGGTTGCCAACTGACCTGGGCAAGTGGCTCTGCAAGTGTGTGTCTGCATCATGGAAATGAGAAAAGCTGTTCTAACTGAGGGAGGCAGCCTGTATAACAGAGCATGCAGCTATCAGTGCTGTCAATATGAAAATATATTTTTTTTTAAATTTAGAGCAAAAAATTGTAACTCGAACTGTATGAAAAATGAGAGAGGTTACTTTAAGACTTCATCATATCTAAACAGAAGCACACCAAGGGCGTAAGGTATTTGTCAATGACAAGCGATCATGCTCTGAAAACAGTTTTTAGAATAACAAATACTACTGTAACAAGGATTATTTCAGATGCCTGAGAAAAGACATCTCATCAACTCAAAAAATTGAATGGAAAAAATGAATGAAAATATTGTGAATGAAACCATTTTAAACCCCAATATGTGAGCTTCCGAAGTTTAATAATGTAGCTCAGTGAAAACAGGGAA